TCAAACAAGATAAGACAAAGTAATATAAAATTATATTTAAATGAATCGTATCAATTCTTTAGAGGAAATATTTATGTATTAATAAGTCAATTGATTAATTATCATTATAATCGCTTTTGTGTATCACCATAACCTCTTAATTTGCACTGCTGTTAACGGAGTAAAACTTTACTCGATGGTAAAGATTCTTGATAAAATTATTCTTGAAATTAAAAAAAATATTATTGCATTACTCAGATAAATAATTCTGTATGATACGTAGAATTTCATATGGTTTAATCTATGGAGTATTCCAACTGTTTGGAATGAAGTAATTTTAAAGTCATTTGTGATTGCTTGTTTGTAAATTAAAACAGAAATGTTTGAAGATAAGACATTGTATAATTGCAGGTACGATTGCAGTATTATGTTCTTACATTCGAGAAACATTGAAAAAAAATGATAATTGTGAAGCATATATATCTACTGTTAACGAACAAGTAATCAGGGCTTTCTGTATAATACCAGTAATAACAAGTCAGCATGGATACTGTTCAAGAGCAAGAATGAGATAGAGTGAGATAGAATGTATAGTAAAATGAAATAGAAATATGTTCTAGTACTATAAATGGCTGCCAAGTCATGTGATTGCAACAGCGAATCAGAATGCGTAACATCGGTTGCGCTTCTCTGATAAATCTAGGATTCTAGGGTTACCTTGCTTCTTTCCACCACTTTCCACCATGCTAGGTCCCAAATAGGGATTTGAAGAAGAAGAACCGTGCGTCACCGTGCCTGATAGTTCTCTGATTCTCTCTTCGTGAAGAGGGTATAGTAGGTTTTTAGTAAGATATTAAAAAAATCACGGAAATATGACTGATAATATCGAACAAACAAATAATGAAACAGAAAATCAAGACTTGAACGATTTATTGGATAGTACGTATATCTTATATATTTAAAAAATCGATCTAACCTTACGGAAATCTATGTCGCAAGTTCCGGATTCTGTGGTCATTAAAAAAAGAAATTATTCATACTTGCGTAATAAATTGTTTTGCAGTTTTAAATAAATATCTTTGACATTAAGAAAGTATAGTATTTAGTATCATTATACTTGTTTTGTAAACTATAAATTTTTTGTTAAACTGTCGTATATATATTTGTATATATATATATATATATATTAAATTTTGTCGTTTTGTTTTAGGTGCTTTACAAGATTTTGATAAAGTATCCATATCAAATGTCGAAAAGAGCAATGACATAAATACAGTAGATTCGCAGAAGCAAACAGATAAACATGAAACATCTGAAGACAAATGGACAGAGGATTTTCTCAAACAAACGGCTGATCAGTTTGAAAAAAATTTACAAAATTTATTGCAAAATGGTGAGATAATTAAAAATATATAAAGATCGCTAAATAAATATATTTAGGATTTATTTATTATTAAAAGATAGCGAACTGGAAGCTGCTTTACAAAAGCTTGGACAAATGTCAGCCAGTAATGCAGTGGATGAAAAAGATGTGAATGTAGATTTTCAATCGGCTGTTTCACAAGTTTTAAAGGATTTAACTGCAAATTCTGAAAATTTACAGGTATTTAATCTTTATAAAAAGGGTAATTAAATAATATTAAATCAGTGAAATATCTCAATGACAAGATATTTGGGAAGTGTTTCAAATAAAAGTTGTAGGTTTCAACAAATGTATGAAACAGCAGTGATATAGGCAGTGATATCCATTAATTTTGAATATAGAGGAGCTTTTAAAGGTAACTTTAAAATTTTTTTTGGTAACTCCCACTTTATATTCAGTGTTCTTGTAGTTGTTATCAAAATCTTAAAACACTATGATGAAACTCCTTTTGATTAAGTACTTTTGAAATATGAGTTGACAAATTTCAGATATCATCAGCATTAGCATTCATTCAAGGTATTTAACTGATAAATTTTAGGTATTGAGACAGCTAAAAACCTGAATATTGTTTAGGACCATAACTTCGACAATGTATTATATGTTAAGGTCATTGAAAATTGTTCCTCTTTTTTTAATTTTTACAAAAATTATAATTTTTGTAAGTTTTATGTTATGTCTCAGTGCTATCTAGTTCCAAGAGCACAATGATTGCTTCACTTTTAAGTCATTGGCGTTTAAAGAACTAGTTTACTTATGTAAAGTCGAAAAATGTCGAAAAATGTCGAAAAATGTCGAAAAAAGTCGAAAATATGGGACTCGCATTTGTGTTTTAATGCTCCTTGACCACAAGGTATAAAATATTAGTTCTTTTCACAATATATCTCGGCAGTCTCAAATCTGTTTCTAGAATCCTTAGGAGCCTATTTAACTCTAATTTAACAGCTAATGAACTATAGATATTTGAAGTTAAACTCGTTTTATATAGATATAATCTGAGATAGAGCTACTAGCCAGAGATCAATCAGAATTGGTGTTACGGCATGGATTGATTCTTGCTTTTGCTCTTTCAATCATGAATGTCTCAGTACAGACTTGCTCTGACCTCTTCTACTTTTTCTTCTTCCTCGTATAGTAGACTCAGGAGGTGTCAAAGACACATAGTATATTTTAATCAGGGAATGGAAAAGTTACTTTCCTTATTTTTTATAATAATAATTTCATAATGATGTTGCAATTTTTTATGACTATAATGATAATTAACTAAACGCTGAGATTGCTCTAAGATTGGAAAAGTTACTTTGAAACGTAACTTGCACCATTATGCATTTATTTACTGAAAAAAGTAATTTGTAATTAGAGTAACATTACCTCATTACAAGTAACGACTAAAAGATAATGAGTGACAAATGTCGAATTAATTTTTTTTCAGTATCGCGTGACCAGTGTGACTTTCCAATCCTGATATAACTGTTATAGTAAAAAAAACTCAAATCGTATAACAGAATAATGATATGGGACTCGCACATATCATTATTCAAACACAAGGAAAGTAACGACGCGTTACAAGTAACTAGAGTTTTCCTTTTGGGAAGAAATTTTGAGGTGGGAGGAGGAAAAAGTAGAAGAGAGAGATCGGGGGAGTCTGTGCTGAGACATTCATCATTAAAAGTAGTAAAGATCAAAATAAGAGATAAGAGAGGAACCCTCTTGGTTGGACATGTGGAGAGTACAACTTATACCTCACTGTATTCAGGAAGAATTAAATGCAGCTTATATCTCACTCTTGAAAAGATTAAGAGAGTGCGGCTTGTATTTCACAGTATTGGGAGATGCGTTCCACTTAACATTTGCAACGCTCACATATGTCTGACATGCATGATTTTATCCTTGTTTAATATTTCATGACAACAAGAATGAAATGATACTCGTGAGCGTTGCGAACGTTAAGTGGAACACATCCTGGGAGGGATTGAGTGCAGCCTGTGCAGGATGCAACTAATTTAATCTACTTGTTCGCAAAAACAATGATATATTTTATGCAGTTTCATACATGACTACAGATGTGTGAGGCACTCCGAAAATGAAAATAAGAGACTTTCTGATGATCTTGACATATGTTGTCAAGGTCATATGACTCTGAATAACATCCAAAAGGTTTTGGCCATCGATCGAATACCTTGAATAATGTTAATGCCAGCAATATCTGAAAGAACCCCGCAGAATCTTTATGGAAAATGGCTTTCGGTCAAATCTTCTGAAAATTTGCTATCTGATAGTTCTTGATATGTAGATCAAAAGTGTCAATGGTCATAAAGATAGTTTTCGAGTTACAGCCGTTCGAAGTTGGCGCTTTTGTGCATTTTATTCATCATATAAAGTGGAATATTGAGTCTTACATAGAGGAGAAGGTGGTATTATGGCACCTCAGTTGTATTTTACACAAGAGCTTGGTTAATAATCAATATTTAAGTTTAAAACTTGACAATTAAAATTCATTAAAATGTTGTTGAATCGATTCTGGACTCAAAATTACGAAATATTTACTTCTTAGGACACTATTAATAAAAATAAAAAATGTGGCGACGTTGCATAACGATTCGAAGAAAAATATGGGTGGTAATGTGGCCTATCATAAAAGTAGCCTTAGAGATTAGTTTTGTTTAGAAAACAGTATTTGGTCACAAAATTAATTAAAAAAGTAAAACATTTTAAAATGTATACAAATAAATGTATATATGTTCACATAATTTCTGCATATAAGATGCTCAGATACTAAAAATCGCAGTACTAAAAATAGTACACGTAATATAAACTGTAGATTAACAGTAGAGCTACAATTGATTATCAAATAATTATTTTTATATGAAAACCTTAGAAAAGAGTAGAGCTGTGAGTAATCAATATCCGTAGAGGGCCACATTAGCAAAATGCCATGCTATTGTTTAAATTTGCATAACTTAAAAAAATATATACAGTCAAATAAAATGTTAAATAGCAAACAACACACTCAAAAATACATATCTTCATCTGTAATTAGTGATTGACATATATATTATATGTAGATTACACACGTACAACTGTGTCGGCTCTCATTGGCATTTTTTCCTTTATTGATATTCAATTATTTTCTAAAATGAAATTCAGACATTATTCTAGAAACTTGAACGTATGTTCATGAATTTTTAGAGATATTTTTGAATTCACTTTAAATAAGTGGAAAAGTGGACGGACTCGAAATATCCAGATTCATACCGTTAATGTACCGATTTGTGTATCATACCATAATTAAGAAAAGGGTTAATAAAAGTTATCTTTATAGCAATAATACTTGTCTATATTGATTTTTACAATTTAACATTTTTTTAAATTTATAAAAGTAACCAATAATATTATAATATTATAATTTTAAATTTATAAAAGTAACCAATAATAAGTAAATAGATAATATTATTTTGTATTCATCTTTCTGATAGTCTCAAAATAAATGAAATACATTTTAGAATGAAACAGATATGGCAGGGGGGGGCGGGGGAGCAAACGTCTCTCGACGGCGATACTGGTGATATATTACCATTTATGCAAGGAATGATGGAGCATCTTTTGTCAAAAGAAATTCTTTATCCATCATTGAAAGAACTGTCCGATAAATATCCAGCATGGTTAGAAGAACATAAAGCTACTTTAAATGCTTCTGATTTAGAGAGGTATACAAAACAGTCAGAATTGATGCAAAAGGTATGTTAATAATAAATTACTTAACCAACTTATGATTTATGTGTATGGAAACTTTACACAATTAACATATTTATATTTTGTGTAAGGTGTGTATTGAATTGGAAAAGGGAAAGGAAGACGATGCAGAAGGTATTAAACAACATCGATTTGAATGTGTATTAAAACTTATGATGGAAATGCAAAATTATGGTCAAGCACCTGACGATCTTGTTGGCGAACAATGTTCGCCTTTTCAATTTGATTTCGAAAGCAATCCCACTTTTCCATTCCCACCCGGAGTAGATTCGCAGCAGGATTGTTGTATTAACTGAATATATATGAATATATAGCTAATATGTTTCTGAGATATTATATAATTATAATTTCAACCATTTTATTTATTATCTTTATTTCATAAACAGTTAAAGAAGAGTTACATTGTTTGCTTTCTACGATAACATTGCTAACGTATGAACATATATACAAGATATATTACGAAACCTTATCCTTGTGTGGTAATTCTCTTTGAATTTCAGGATGACCTTCTTTTGGCAAAAATAGTGCAATAAATGTAATAAATTTTTATTATGTTTTATAATATAATATTACATAATATATTATATACTAGAACTGTAAGAATTATTTACTAAGGGGATGTAATATGAAAAATAAAAAATTTTCTACTATAACTGGTTTTCTATCACTGCATGAACTTAAAAAATTATAAAATTTTTGGTTGTGTAAAAAAACTTTTAGAAATACATATTTTTCTGTTCATAGATTATGATCATATAAGTAATATTTGTTCTAGCCTCGTTTACATGTCCCTTTCTATATGCCATCGATGTAACAGAACTGGCAGATTTCTTAACCCGATAGTCGTCAACTTCTTTCGTTTCGTGCAAAAACGTATCGAATAAGCCCAATTTTACGTAAAAATAAATTTTTAGTGCACAAATGAAAATAACAGTAGTAACCTCCTATGACCTTGATTTTAATGTTATCCAGGGCATGACCTTAAACAACGTTCAAGAGGTTTCAGCCATCGATCGAACACCTTGGATAATGCTAACGTCGGCGATACTGTAACTTTTAAGCCTTATAACTTGAACAGTACTTGGTGAAAATGAACTTTATTATGTGTTTTGGAAAGTTCTTGACACGCCAGCTATTAGATTCTAGAATAAAAAATAGCTAGGGCATTTCATTTAATAAAATCGATGTGACCTTGATCTGACATTGACGACGCCACCCAAGATCAAACTGTGTGTGATAAGATCAGTATATAGGTCTTTTTAAACTCTCCAACTTTGTCTGAAGCATTTTTCCTATAAACCAATATTTTTTGAGATATTAGCCGTTCCGGAACTTTTAGACTTCACTGTATAGTACATACAAATTTACACGAAATTATCTAAGCATTAAAGATCCAGCTTCGACTGATTATGGACCTTTATTTCCTATTAATTGTGTTGTAAAATTAATTTTCCATTTTGTAAATGGAATTATGATTTACATTGGCTGCGTTCAGAATTATAACAAATCATAATAATATTATAGGTTACAAGATATTTTATGCTCTTGTTACATCTGGAGACTCCACGATTCTTTTCTTTCACAAAAATATTACCATCGAACAGAGAATAGATATAACCTATGGGAATTAATTTGAATCCTGTTTGACTAGAAGTATGAAATATTAAATGAAAAAAAAAAATTAATAATAGAAGACGATGCGATGATACTACGTAATAGAGTGATCGGGTATCTAATAACGCAAATGAAATCAGCGATGGAATATTTTCAAACTCAACATAGTATAAATTAAGATGCATGGAAGTACACAGCGACCAGTAGTTGGTAATTAGTAGTTGGCGATAAGTAGAACAATAACTGCGTTTAGCAAAAAAAACAGCTTTACAATTTGTAAAATCTTTAATACGATTGATTCTTATTTGTGATTCCTTATTGCGCTAAATGTACAAACCAATTGAAGAACTTTATAACGGTTGCAAAAAAGCTGCTTTTTTTGCTAAACGCAGCTACTGGCTGCGTTCAGCAGAGAAAACTAATCAGTCAGCGCTTAGTAATTCTTTAATATGATTAGTTCTTGCTTTTAGTTCTTCATTAGATCTAAGTGTAGGAACCAATTATATTGAAGACTCACTAAGCGCTAACTGATTAGTTTTCTCTGCTGAACGTAGCCATTCATTCGAGTTCATTTGTGTGTTTGGGATGAAAATCTTTGTGCGGCATCCAGATTAATTTTAATTGGAGAAATTTCTGAGGTCAACCTGGGTCAACCTCATCCCACAGAGACCATTACGAGTGAGTGACAACTCTCCTGGACCAGTTTCTTGACCTTGGAAAGAACAAATAATTTCTAATTCTTTCAAAAGTAAGTTCACTTTTATTAGTCAGATAAAAAAATATTCCTTTTGAAATTCATAATTCCAGTGCATGGCTGGAGTTTTAAAACAATTAGGCAAAATAAAAAGATTAAGAGACGTCAGCAAACTCGACCTCACAACTAATAAAATAAAATTCAGACCAAATGATTTAATTTATTAATAGTTGAAAAGTTGAGCAACAATTTGGGATCGAACTTGGAAGTTCCTTTGACTCCCTTATTTCCTCTTTATGATTAGAATTAAGATCCCCTCCCTTAGAGCCTTCTTACATATTCTCCGGTCTAGAAAATAATCCGTTTAAAAACACTCAGTCGCCTTCCTCTGAACCTTCTGAAAATAATCATTCTTCTCTCTAATAAACGAACAAATTACTATTCTAACCGTTTTAATTCAAATGATTTTGAAGAACTTTCTCCAAAATCCTCAACTTTTAAATTACTCTGAAATAATGTTTCTTGAATTTAGGGTTTTCCTTTCAGGTATTCTCCAATCGAAAGAATAACAATCCTTATCCCTCTTTCACTACCCCTATCCATTTCTTATTCTAAGATCAAACCTTAGACACGATTGAACGATTTATTCTTACAAATATTCGCACCCCTTTAATTAATTAAACTAATTTATATAATGTAACGAACAGGAGATAGGTCTAAATTCTTAAAACACTTCCCAAGTTCCTATTCAACTTTCTCCGAATAAATATAAAATCATCCACGGATCACAACGTGACACAAACAATTTACACATTTTAATTTTAAAGTAAATAATTTAATTTAATTATATAATATAAGGTTTTTTATTTCGAGAATTTTAAAATTATGTTTAGATATAATTACCTTCATTATTATATGTTATTACAAATTTCTTTTTATTTGATTAAAATTTATTTAAGACTATTTGCATGAATTTATTTTAATTCTACCTTCTTTCGCATTCCTCCTCTCACAAGGTCGCACAGTTCTATCCCAAGTCACATGGAATGATTTCTTTGATCTAAAAGCAGACCAAGCACATTATTTCAAGCAATGTCATTGCGTTTGTATGTACGTAGACTTCTGTTTTGAAATTTAAATCGAGTGTGCTCAAGTCGTGATATGCGCGATAAGGCATCGATCCACTGCCTTAGGCCTTAACTTAAACTTATTCATTGTCTCTTTCTAATTTTATAATTGGAAAAAGATGAGAAACAAGTTGAACCTCGGTTAAGAGTTAACCATGGGTTGTGGAACTGAGCCTTAGTCTGAGATGACAATCCAAACCTCTTTCTTAAACCTTTTAATTCCTATGGAATAAAGGTTTCTGGGGCTCTGACGTAACACTCTGTTCTGGCACATTTTTTACATGCAAAATAAAATATTTCATAAACTATTTTTTTCATTTTTTTATAACTAATATACTTTAATACTTTTATACACAGAAGAATAAAAATAAGATGAATTAATTGGTATATATATAAATAATTATATACATAATTGCTTAAAAAAGTTATGGAATTTGTAATATGCAATTACATCTTTTTTGAAAAGCAACATGTATTTTCTTTCTATTAATCGATTTATTTCATTATTCGGCGCATAAAAGTATTGAGATACAATTATCAAAAAATGAATAGTTCATAAAATATTTTCATATTAAAATGTGTCAGATTAAAGTATAAAATATTTCGTAAATTACTGATTTTTTATATATTTCTACTGCAATATTTTTATATCCTACTGAATAATTAGAGGAATCGTATTATGAATAAGATCATTAATCTTATTTTTTTAAACGATGACGACCTTCATATAATCTTAGGAAGTTAATTTTATCCCCCCCCCTCTCTCTCTCTCTCTCTC